TCAACATTTAAGGTAAGGACCAACAAATATGAACGTAGGAAGCAAACTGTTACCTAACTGTGAAACAAAAACAGTAAACAATAGCTTTGTACACTCGTCAGATTTAGTTGAATAAGTTTAGTAACATTAAGAGTAAACATTTTACTCTTAGCTCAGCCATGCAACATCAACCTGGAATGGGACTACAGATGGAAAACTTAATCTAAATCTGTCATATTTACATGGACACGTGCTGATTAATGTGCAGTGTCCCATTTTCCAACATTTATTTGTTTTTTGTATCAGTGATTTAAACAAACAAACAAATACATAAAAACATGTTGGATTTAGTTTATAATGTAATTTAAGAGCAGCTATATTGTTGCACTATAATGACTATAGATTAAATCCAACATGGCAGAGTTATGTGGAGAAAGTTACTTAACATTATCTAACTTCCAGCAAATAAATCCAATACTTTTTTCCTGAAAGTGTTGCCACTGAACTGGACAATATTGGAAACACTGATTCCATAGTAGGCTGCTTGTACCATGGGAGTAGAACGCATTCTTCTGAGCACACATCCCACAGCTGACAGCATCTTCACATGATGCGCTCATGTTTGTTGTAAACACAGCAGAGCGGCAGGTGTTGGATGATTCATGAGCCAAACACACGTCAGCAGGGCTGGGACGCTGCACGTGCTTCCTCGTCAGCTGGACAAGTGCACTGATGCCACAAGTGATTTACCCTAAAGACTTTTAAGACACTCAAAAGGTTCCCAATCATGTTTGGAAATACACTGGGACAGATTTTCAGTATTTTGTATGTGTTTCATTTGCGTGGCCACTGGTTTTGCTTATTAATAAAACAACATAATCTAATCCTAATACAGACTAACATATGTAGGTCTACTCACACACACTCAACATATTCACCCATATCACACGCAGCTTGGAACACAGAGCAGACTAACTCCTTCGTAGTAAGTAAGTATGTAGTCTTGATTTATATAGCGCATTATACAGACCAAGGTCCAGACCGAAGCGCTTAATAAATTGTTGAGAAAAAAGAATTTATAACATGTTGCAGAGTCCTCACTTAAAACTGTAAAGCCGTTTGGGGTTGTGTATGATTCCTCATATGAACAGTGTCCAGGACAACCCACAAAGTATGGATCAAAAATAAATACATGTATGATTACCTCTATTTAACCAGGTAGACACCCATTGAGATCTCTTTTTCAAGGGGGACAGGGCAAAGATCAATCAATCAATCAATCAAAGTTTATTTGTAGAGCGCCTTTCATACACAGGGCAACACAAAGCGCTTCACAGTCCACATCACAAATCACTGAAGTTGACAAATGACGCCCTCTCTTTGTTTCTGGGGACCAAAGACAATGATTTCGGTTTTGTCTGCATTTAGCTGGAGGAAATTATTTTGCATCCAGTCACTGATCTGTTGGATACAGTGAAGGAGCAAATCCAGTGGTCCATGTTCTCCTGCAGTCAGTGAGACATAGATCTGAGTGTCGTCGGCGTAATTGTGGTAGGACACTTTGTTTCTTTGTATTAACTGACCTAACGGCAGCATGTAGAGATTAAATAGGAGAGGTCCCAGGATCGACCCCTGTGGTACTCCACAGGTCAGGGCCACATGATCTGAGACGCAGTCTCCAATCTCCACAAAGTACTTCCTATCCTCCAGGTAAGACCTAAACCAGTCTAGGGCTGTGCCAGTGACACCAACCCAGTCCTCCAGTCTCTGCATGAGGATCTCATGGTCGACAGTGTCGAACGCGGCACTAAGATCTAACATGACCAAAACTGTGACTTTACCTGCATCAGTGTGAAGTCGAATGTCGTTTGTTACCTTCACTAGAGCGGTCTCAGTGCTGTGGTGGGGTCTAAACCCAGACTGGAACATATCAAAAGAATTATTCATTGTTAAAAATTCAGTAAGTTGTTGGGAGGCCACTTTTTCAAGAATTTTTCCAATGAATGGCAGATTCGATATGGGGCGATAATTTTGAAGTCCCGCAGGATCCAGACTGCTCTTTTTTAGGACAGGTCTTATGACTGCTGTTTTTAGGGCCATAGGAAATGTTCCTGACGACAGAGACATGTTTACTATTTGTGTCAGTGAAGGTAACAAACTGCTCAGGACGGACTTCAGAAATTTAGAGGGCAATATATCCAGGCTACATGTGGAGGAGCTCAGACTCATGATTATCTTTTTGACAGTTTCAGTATCCACAGGTGCAAAGTGAGTTAGCTCAAAAAGCTTCTCTGGCTGTTGCATTGTTATACGTGCTGTGGAGGTGATAGTGTTTTTGATTCCTTGTACTTTGTCATCGAAAAACTGTGCGAACTCATTACACCTAGATTTAGAGGAAAATTCTAGGGGCAACTTTACAGGGGGGTTCGTTAATCTACCAACTGTTGAAAACATAACACGAAAATTGTTACTGCAACCTCCAATAATGTCAGAAAAATACATTTCTCTTGTTCTACGTAGAACCCGGTTAAATTCACCCAACTCATCTTTAAAGATTTCATAATCGCCCTGGAAATTGGACTTTCGCCACTTCCGTTCGGCCCTCCGGCACTCTTGCTTCTGTGCCCTGACCGAGTCTGCCTTAGTCCATGGGGCCTTTTTCTTACTGGTAACTATTTTAACCGTCACAGGAGCAATGGCGTCCAGAACAGTCAGAACACTGGTGGTGACAGAGTTATACAATTATAACAAAATTATAACAAAAAAGATGTCAGCTCATGGGAACACAATTATCACATAGAAACAATTATATAGTAACAGCAACAGAACAAGATACATAATGTACCATTTCAAAACTGGTCATTAACATCGACACATTTAAAAGCATTCTTAGTATACACGTTTTAGTGCTTATTTTCTTTATTATAAAATGTATCTTTGGAACATGTGATTCTAATTTACATATTGAAGGAAGAAATAAACTACTACTACTAATACTACTGTCATCAGATATTTCCTCATTTCTAAACTCTATTTCTGGCTGTCCTTGTTGCACATGTCTGGTCGAACGCAGAATAAAAGTGCAGAGTCACAGCTGACAGTGGCCTGAGGACCAGCAGCAGCAGCAGCAGTAGCAGCAGCAGCAGCAGCAGCAGTAGTGATCCCAGCATAACAACAGCAGCCTCCTGTGTGCATGATCAGTACATGACTGTGACATTGTGGTTTGGCTCCTGAGGCTGACTAACGAATATTGCAATGTGCAGCGCAGCAATGGTTTCGGGGAACAGAGGAGTGAGTAAGCGCTGCACCTGCCTCTCGGTCAGGATAACACACTGACAGGAGGGAAGGTGAATTTCCAAGGACGGCGCCGCGTAGTAGATGTTGTGAAATCATAGTGCGCATGTGGCCCGGCCAGCTGCACAGGGAGCTTCCTCCAGCATGAATCACGAGTGGACTTCTTCACAAGTCACATCACACCCTCTGCACCCTCCCCCCTGTTTTCCATACCTTTCCTTTTCTCATCGCAGGTGCAAGCATGAAGTAAGCTGACTAGATTATTCACATGTGTGCTTCTTTGCTTCCATGGTCTTGCACATGTGCAGACAAACGGACACACTCCTGCATCACAATGAACAATGCTTGAGCCATCCAGAGCTTCATCAGTATGATCTCATGCCACAGAAGGCCCTTCCTGTTGCTGATGTTCCAGTGCAGGTGGCTGAGGCAAGTGGCCCCGATGGACTGTGAAGTGACATCTCCTCTGTGTCCTCACACCAGGCCAGGGGTCAGGCCTCAGGCTTTACCTCTTGGGTCACACAGGGGTTTGTGTGACAAAGTTTCATATTCTGATTGAGATCCTGTTTATTCAGAATCAGAATCAGAATAATTTTAATTTCCACGTAAGTAACAGGAAGTCACAGACTTGGAAATTGCTTTGGCTCAGTGCAACAGTCAGAAAGAGAGGTAAGGGTAGAGAAGGCATAATAAAAAATAAAGAATAAAAACACTTCAAAGGAATACATTTAAAATAGAGTTACAATTCAATTTCTGTTGGACACTAACTGTCCAACAGAAAGGATTGGTGAGGATCAGGACACTTTAGCATTCTACAACATGTATGGAAATTTTCTTCTGTGTGTGCTTTATATTCTTCATGTGTTTTAACTGTTGATTCTCTGACCTGTGTTGGTGATTTCAATGGTTTTGTTAAGTCCTCTGAGATGACTTATGTTGTGACCTAGGGCTATACAAGAATAAATTGTATTGTAAGTAACTCTATTTACAAATTCAGTTATGCATTATACATTACAATCCTAAATTTAAAAATCGGAAAGGTAAGGAGTGTTGGATTCGTTGGTGCCTTATATTCCGGGGAAAAATAACCCATACAGTTGTATCTTGCAGCCAAAGGCTCTTCATCGTTAACATTTCTGTGGAATATGGGAGTGTGGCATATGTGAAACTGCTTGTTGAGAGCACCCTCGGATGACTCAACATTTGGCAAGAACATATCCTGTATATTGTGCAACACCAGTGCCTGACTTCTGTTTGATCTAATATCACATACAAATAATGACACGTAACTGTACTACAAACTGTAAACATGTTTTGGAAGATTTTATTGAATTACCGAAGAAATAAAATTGAGAAATATTTTACTAGTTGAGACAATCTGTTTAATAATTTAAACCAATTATCTTATAACAATTTGAAGGGACAGAAGTTATACAATGCTTGTGAATTGGTTGTGAATGTGAGACATACCTCCACAGCAGGACAATAGGACTGTTACAATGTGACGAAACTACAGCTCCGTTTATGTCCTGCCAGATGTTGGACTGACAGCTCATGAATGTGTCTTTAATGCTAATTGAATGGTTAAATCAGGCGGTGCCCTATGGGGCAGTGGTGTTATCCTTGGTCCCTAAGGACTGTTAACTGTTACTCTGTGTGGTCCACCCTCCCGTGACTGGACCATGGATAAAATTAGGGGGGCTTCTTCTCCGTGTCGGCCCTTTGATATGAGAAGTACTGAAACAGAGGAGTGGATAGAAGAGGGACACAGTGAGTTAAAGCTGGGTGGGGTGAGGTGGGGGGCCACTCTTCCTAGTTGCCAAGCGAACGCCATATGGGCAGCTCACTGGTGTTACTGGGGGCCCGGGGCAGTTCCCAGAATTCACATGATAATGAAGCCCGGGGCCATTCAGAGTGCTGGCCTAAAGCTGGCTCTAAGAGCTTTTGATAGCCCCCAGCAGCCTGTAGGCCTGCCCACCCTGGACTGGCCAGCTTTCCTACCAGGCCCAAACCACCTGTTTGATTTTCCCAGGGCCCGGCCACAGCCGAGGCTGTACACAGAGGGGACAGGGAGGGGCCGCAAAGGAATGTCTCTATGAGTGTGTACTTCCCACTTACTTCCTCTTTATAATCCATGCTGCCCTCCCTCGCGTGCACACTCATACACACACATGCCCAAACCAAGACGTGCACACTCCCGTTGACCTGTCCCGCTTTTGTCAGTGCTGCCTCAAACAATTCCTGGGAGAAGAATGAAGTTTGAAAGTAGGGCACCTTCTGCTGCTTCCAACTTCTACACAAGCAGATTCTTGGAAGTGGGCCCTGCTGAAGAAAGAAGGGTGCTTGTCTCCTGGGTTGGACGTGGGAACCAGTGAGGTGCACGTATGTTTGGGGTGGCATCAGTGGGTGGGTGGCTGATGGAGGGACACCCTGGCGTGAGAGAACACGGTCTGTGGCACTTGCGGGGGGTCGACGTATGTTTACATGAAGAGCACATTCCTCTATCGTGAGAATGGCTGGTCCATCCAATAACAGCGTACAGACGGCCAGATGGCAGATGGCCCTTTGTTACTGTATGCAACATAGGACTATGGGACTGTGTAGATACATAAAATAGTAGATTCTAAGAAAGAGGAGAAAGGGCATTCTGCATGGGAATACGACCTCCAACTCGTATCATGAAATATGAACAATGTGGAAAAAAGTCACAATTGTCAGCATAAATGAAATTATACCATTTTATTTTCTTCCTGCGTGTAAGATGATCCAAAGATAATCTATAAATATGAATAGTAGAATGGAGTTACTTCACAGGTCATGGGGCAAACTGATAATTTGCTCTGGGGACTCAGGGGTCCCAGAGGGAACTATTGACCCCACATTAAACAGGCCGTAATAGAGTATTTATTGATGATTGAGCTCATTGCAGGTGTTTTTACAATGGCAATAGTGCAACAATATAAACATTCTAATGTCTAATTCTAATATAACTACAATCTACAATGAGATAAGGTATACTTTGATGCCCCTATAGAAAATGTGTTCTTTTTGGCCCATCTTGCAATTGCTCTAGGACACAACATATTGCTATTGAAACAAAACAGAAAACTGATTATTTTTCACATTTACGGTTGTTTTTGTGTAAAATATCAATCAGACACAATTGTATGTACAGAATCAGACCACTCAACATTAAAGGCTTGAAGGAAATTAAAGAAATATTGGACTGAATTCTTGGAATGATTACACACAGAAACATGCACAGGTCCAGGACAGAAACCAAAACCAAAAAGACAATTTTAATCTAAATAGTGCTGCTCCACAGGTAGATAATACTTTACTACCGTGTAAACATATTGGCAGTGACTTACAGTTTTATGAATAGTAACTCATCAAACCAACAACACACTGTTGATACAGTTCAAGAATCTTTTTTTAAACACCTGCTTTCCCCTTTAGGGACATTCAGTTAACTATTTATTTCCTGTTTTGCTGCCTGCTTATCATATGATACGCCAATAACAACAAAACAACTCCAGCAGCAGCAGCCAGGTGCACACAGGTGCGATGCTGCGTGCGCTCTGTGGTCACCTCCCGTTCTCGCTGCATAGGCGGGGCGGCGTTCCTACTATTTAACCTGAAATGCTGCCTTTGCTGGGGGCTAAACACCTGTGCAACTCACTCACACACACACACACTCTCACAGGTCGGAGCGGAGAGAGGAAAGCTCCGGGGGCGGATACACACACAGGGCGCAACCTCTCGCATTCGTAAACTGCGCACCTCCAGCTCTCCGGTTACTGTATAGTCCCCTTGGCTCTCGTTGCTTCTTTTAACACATTATTGAGGTCAGGTGTTCCTAGGACATAAGCATAGAAAACATTACAATAACTCTGCTGTAGCCTATTCAGCGCGACATGAATGTGTGCGCCTACACCTGTCGCACCTGCGTATAACCCTTTGAATAGACACACCGATTCCCACACCCAACTCAATTAACTTCCTCTTACTGTTAGGCTGTCTATAGATATGGACAACAAGAAGGGGAAACTTGAGCCTGCTCAGATCACAGCCTGGGACTGTTAAATTGTCAAGAGTGTCAGGATAGAGAAACAAATAGTCATCACGGGCACAATCAAAACAAAGGTATCGCGCGCAATATGTTGACCGTCAATGGTGGCTCTCATTTGTCAGGGTCCATCCAGAGACGGTCGTTCTCAGGCGACTCATACAATGCGCAGTAGAAAAACAGCAGCTCTCTCTCCTTTGAGCCCTGCCTGCCACCGGGAAGCCCAACTGAAGTATTAATCTTTGGGTGGAAGGAGTGGAGGAGAGCGCTCGGCCATTGTCCCCAGGCCTTGGCTATCTGAATGGGGCTTTGTGAGTGGCCCAGCTGCCACAGTGTTCGCGCTGCATCTTTGGGCTCTGGCTCCCATGTCCCCTGGCCGCAGTGAGGGGACGGCTCTGTGCAGCTGTGGGGATGTGCACGGACAGAAAGGTCAGGTGACACGCTATTTGTCTCCCACATACAAGGATTTACTTGTCGTTTCAAAGTGGGCCTGTTGAGTTGCCATGGGATCTCGAGAAATATTTGAAGCAAAATGATTTGTTTTTGTTCATTTTGATATTCCCTGGTTGGTCAATATATTAGGGTCTTCAACACAGATGTAAGAATGGTGCTTCATGGACACAGCGTTTCAAAAAATAGTCAAAACTTTTCAGCGGAGAGATGTTTCGACTCCTATTCACAAGTCGTTTTCTGATCGGAGGAGATCTGAGATGTGAACGGGTGTAATGAACATAACCTATTCCAATCGTTATCTGCTGTACAAACCGGTGAAACTCGTTCAAAAGTCCATAAAGTCTGTTTATTTCTGTAATTCAACTTTAAATAAATAACATATATGACACAAATTGAGATGTATCAAGCATTTATAGTTATATAGTTGATAACACAACCCCAAAAATTGAACTGGATTAAAAATGGACTGTAAACCATAATACAACAATTATAATTAATGGAAGGTTTGACATATGTGACTTTGCATGTCACATATAGTCTATATCATATATTGGTTTCCCATTTTATGTTGAATTACAGAACTTTTTATGTATTTTCCAAGTTTCACTAAGAAGTTTGAGAAACTAATTTGACATGTTTGACCAACTTACATAGTTTTACCTCGACTTTATATCTTAAACATTTGCTGAGCCGGTGCATTCTCATAATCTTGTTCAGTCTCATAATCTTGGTCAGCAGAAATCTTGTGTCAGAATCCAGGAACATTGCAATCTTCAAGATGTACACTGCAAGTCAGCATAATAATAATTCTTTATATTGAACTGCTCTTGCTCCAGTCAACTGCAAATAATGAATTGATCTGCACATGTTGTGGGCTAAACTCAGCTAAGCCCAGCTGTTACTGCAGGGATGATAAACAAAGTGGCTCTTGTATGAATGATTTTCCAGCATCATTAGTGGCAGTTATTTGTTTGTTGTCCGTGTCTGAGCTCCTCCACAGTTATCAGAGCTCCAGCTGAGAACAGCTGGTCAGCCCTTCTGCCTCCAGTGAGCTGGGCTCCGCTGGAAGTCCCCTCATGAGGACGCCCCGAGGACGACACAACACTCTCTAACGAACAGGCCTCATTAGGCTCCATCTACACTTTCAGAAAGGAGCAACCATTGTCCTAATCACGAGGAACTCCCTGGGAATGCAGCACCAGGAGCACCTCCGCAGGAGTGAGGGAATCTTCCATTTCAGTCATTTCCATAGAATTCATCAGGGGAAAGCACCACCTATCCTGACCTTACAATACAGTCATTTTACACAAACTGTTGCAATACATTTTTATGTTTGGTTTGTGTTATCTCTTATACACTTCATAAACAAATACAAGATTGTATTTTTTCCTCAGAAAACTCTGATTTAACTTAAGACACCGGTATATTATATGAACAAATGCCAATTGCATAATTCGGATGACTGTGGCTTCCAGTCCGATTTCAAAATATTCTAATGTGAGAAATGAAGACAGGCAGCAGCGATCTTAGGCACTTGTGAACTTCAGTTTGTTATGCAGTTTTTCCAAACCGGAAAAAGTAAGATAAAGCTTTTTATATGATGTGCATAAGAACAGAGACATCTTCACCTGAGATGTTAAGGATGCATCCTTAAGATGTAGATTGGTTAGCAGTGTGGGTTAGAACACATACGTTCAGTTCTTGGGATAATAATGTTTCAGCAGTATTACAGAAATTTAGCAGATCAGATTCTACACTAATTATAAACGTTTTATTTCGTATTTTCACAATCTGTGAGACTATTATTAACATTATAACAAATGAAGGCTTGATACTGTATATCTAGGCGTTATAAGTCTATTAGTTTCACATTGTAAGTTGAATTACAAAAGTAAATTGTCTTTTGAATGATACAAAATGTGTCATATTGACCCAAATAAATCTTGCTTTTCTTATCAGGTGGATCATTATGTTGAAAAGTTTCCAAATGCATAATAGCAGGACTCCTTTGAAATGGCCAGGATGAGTTCTCGTGGTCTGGGATGACCATCTTATCAAGTTCTCTTGAGGCTGTTCAGTTTAAGTGGAACTTCCCTCTCATGATCACGTGAAGACATTGCTGATGTGGGGGAATCTAAAGTGGAGGGGGGGTGAGGGGAATGACCAGCAAACGGAAAGAGCTGGACTTTATTAGATTTGCAACAAGCTGTAACACTGTCTCTCATTGTGTATGCCACCCCCATGCCCTCCCCCAAACCTGAAGCAGAGAAAACAGCTTCACCCCTCCTCACCCGGCTCCACCTCAGCTCCCTCATACCCCTCTACTAAAGCTCTCTCTCCAGGCAATTGCCACTGGAGTGGAAAGTATTCCAGCGCACAATGCCTATGCTCTCAATGGGTGCTTTAGCATGCCACCAGTGCGCTGTCACCAGCAGATGGGGAGCTAATTAGAAGCCATTAAAGGGCTTTGATAGTGTGTGTGGGAACCAGGCGGAGGGAGATGGCTACAGGGGTGGAGTGGGGACTACCATCATTCAATGAAGAGGGGAAAAGTTTATCTACAGAAAAGTCTTTTGGTCATTGGTATACATTTAATGGAGCCCAAAACCAATGATTCTCAACTAGAAAGCTGTCAGGACCCAACATAAAACCAAGCTGTGACCCAATGAATAACTGAATTTAGAATATAAATCATCAAAAACACAATAGGTTTTGTTTACAAACATTAACTATCCTACAAACTTAAAATATGGACAAAATCTCTAATGTACAATGGGATCAAGGAAATAGATTATAAAATATTTATATGTAGGAAATATAAATGAAATACAGAGATGTGTCTTTGATTTGAGTAACTAATTCAAGATGTCAGCCATTTTTTTTAAAGTAAGTTCAGTTCTGTTTAATATTCAGTGTATTTGGGTGTCATTTAGGTGAACAAACATTTTTGGGCCCGACCCACCAAACCATTGCCCAAAACTCTTGAAACTTGAATCTTTTTGTTATAATGGCATTGATCAAGCTACAAAAGTGATGACCAGTTGCCGCAACAGGGTCAGAGAGTGTTTTGGGCCTGTGTCCTGTATATGTTGTAAGTAGTAGTAATCTTTATTTATATACCGCCTTTTCACTGCAGATCTGAGTTTCAAAGTGGTTTACAATTGTTAATTTTGGGCATTAGTCTCTCACTCCACACAGGGCCAGTACAGGAGGCACATGCCAGACCTATTGTGCATGTTTTTAGTGGTAGGGGAAACCGGAGTACCTGGAGGAAACCTACGCAGACACGGGGAGAACATGCAAACTCCAATCAGAAAGGCCCTGGACCGACCGGGATTCGAACCCAGGTCCTTCTTGCTGAGAGGCTAGAGTGCTAACCACTCTGCCACCGTGCCGCCGTGTTGCCACCGTGTTGTCTTGTCTTGTACCATATTATATTACATTGTATGTTAATTCAACTCAATCTAATCTCGTAAAGCCCTAAATCACAACAGTAGTTATCTTGTAGGACTGTATTATATTTGTATCGGGTATTTTGTTGTTGACAATTTTGTTCATAATCCCCTCATCTCTGCGTTGAATGGATGTGGGTCGTAACATCACAAACAATATTGGATTATTATCTGCAAATGCTGAAGAGAAACAGCAGCGCCTTTGGGAGCACATGTGGAAGCAGGATGGAGGAGGTCACTCACATCACCTGCAGCTGGTCTGTAGCTGCTCTGTGCACACACAAACATGAGGCCGATGTGTCCAGGCTCCAGGCTGTCTGTACTGGTGGTTCCCACAGGAAGTGACTCTCAGCCACGACCATAGCACTGCCCAGGGAAGTGCCATGCAGGGCACACCACTGCAGCGGGCTGGCCTAAACACAAACACAGACACAAAGTCAACACATTTTAAAATACTCCCCGTAGCATTCCTGAGGGCAATGCCAAAACTCTCAGTACAGGCGCTCGGTCAGGCGACACTGCATTGGGCTGAATCTGGTTAGACTGGATCTCTTTGTTAACTGTATGCACAACAAATTACCTCTAAAGCCCTCTATATCGGTCTTAAAAGTGATGTCAACAACTTCGATCCAATGGCATTTTTAAAGGAATGTGTGTTATTGACCATGGGACACTGTACTTCCATGTGTCTTTTTCAACAAAAATATATTTAAAATGTCTCTATAGTAAGATTTGCTGGAGAATAGTTAAACCAATGCCAAAGGTCGCAATGATTAGAGACTAGCATTATCTTATTCTGTTCAGCTCTTTAAGTTGCCTTGTGTATGAATTATGCTATACAAATAAACTTGCCTTGCCTAGAACTAGCTGTGACCTATCAGGAAGCTGGCAGTGAGCAGGGTCAAACCAGTATTTGTCTTCGTGAAGTTTCACTATCGCTTCACAATTTGAAAAGTAACTGACAGATACTAATATGAGTTCTATAAATGAATGTGTATAAATCTACCCCTATCCACGACCATTTGTTTATCACTACAGCAACATCCCCTCTTTTATCATCATTCTGAAACCCACGGTTAGAAAGAGATAACACGATTAAGGCTGGGTACACGCATTTTTTAATTTCACATTTGGTATATTCTTAAAATCTATTTTCTAAACAAATCAGACCACAGATGCTGTCTTCATCTTGATAGTTATTTTAGCAGACGTGTAACAAAGAGCCCTGTGAATCACTATTGTGGTTTGGACGTTTGGTACCCCTGCTTTAGTTGAGTGCTATATTTTACAGACTGAGAGCTGAGAGAGAAAGCTAGTCCACTTTTTCTCTTTTTTTTTCTTTACAGGAGAAGTAAAGATGCGACAGAGTCCAAAGTTACATGCATGTATATATACTTGGAATATATTTCAGTTATTTGGTAGTTTCACCTTTAACAACTTATTCTATACAATAAAGACAGCGACAAAACCATATTGAAACAAAAATTGTGATATATAAAAAGGTGCTCACCAAAGCCTCCCCTCTCTGCCTCCCCCCTCCTCCCTGCAACCTCACACACCTGTGCACAGGTGTGATCATTATCAAGCAAACAGGAAGAGCCTGACAGGGAACTGGAAACTAATCCTGCAGATGGCCTTCTGTGTGTGTGCGCACGTCTCACTGCCTACATGTGCAAACTGACTATTGTTTCAACGTAGACTTGCACATTCACAATCAGAGCGTGGCCACTGTCTAAGAACACATTTAATCTGCGGCTATTATTACTTTTCATGTTTCAGGAAGTAGTAAGACTCCCATTGTCCCATGCACAGCCGTTATGGGAGGCAAGTGTGAAAGCATTGCTGGTATGTCCCATTTCCCATGGCTTTTCCCCCCTGTCGCATCCTGCACTTTGCTCTGGTGAGATATTTTTGAAGAGATAAAAAGGGTGTGTACCTGATGCATGTCCACGTTACTATTTATTTTGAATGCATAGGAAAAATGATTGTGTTTGTATGGGACTTAAAAAATGGTCAGCTTTTAGCTTTTTTCAGCTTTTTAGGAGAATTGTGAACTGAAATAGACCATGACTGTGTGTGGTTTAAGTGATGTTGTGACCAATTTCATGCTGATCATAAAGTGGCCCATCAAACACTACCCCTCACTGCAATAGACTGGGTAACTCTGATATATACAAAGATTCCAGTGGCTGCTTTAAAGATTATAGAGGCTCTGAGACGGACCACCAGTTCTGTGTTAGCTCAAATCCAGGGCTAATATGTTTCACTTTTTTGCATGATCTTGTCCGTGTCTTGGCCCTCCTCTCGCCTTGATGTGCTGTAAACAGGCTAAAAAGAGCCCAGCTGTGTGGAGTTATTGTTGGTGTCAGTAGGAAGTGCTGATAGCTTTTGCAGCGGAACAAAAGCTGGATGAGGGGAGTGGAGGGGCGCTCCAGACACTGTGGCTCCAGCCTAGATTCTCTCCCACAATCCCAGCACCGCACTCCCATTGTTCTGCCCACTAGCCCTCCCTCTCTCCTCCCCCTGGCCGTCAGCTGCGACCTAGGACACAGAGCAGGGGGTGAAGAAAAAGTGAAAGAAACTACTTTTACAGTTTACATTATTGACAAGAAGCAGTGCTTACAACTTGTGACATATTTCTGTAGATTATCGAAAATGTACAACAACAACACTTGCATATTTGCAGTGATACTGCATTTTTACACATGTGAAATAGATGCTTTAGTTAGTAGTTTATTATGTGCATAATACATAAGTAAGTAATAAATAGGTAAAACAAACAAACATGGGCACAAAGGCGTATAATTTCAACAATTCAATGTTGAGAAAAAAAAAATCCCATGCATGACTAATGTGAGGCATTAAGCAAGATTAAGACGAATAGAAAGTGTTTCTTCATAAGTTTAGCCCTGTCTGTATTTCTGGAGCCTTGTCCCATGATGTTGATGCGCTGAGGTGACTGTGAGGACATCTGTACAGAGGATTTGTGGAGGAATGTGCCGTTATTGCGGTTAAAAGCTCGTGTGCGCGTATGCGTGCATGTGTGCGTGTCCGCGGTGCAGGTGCGGCCTGGCTCCCACGTGCAGGTGAATGGGGAGCGGGTGTTTGACGTCTCCATGGAGACCGCCCGAGCGGCGCCAGGCTGACAGGCGTCAGGGCTCAGATGAATGGGTGACGTCACGGCGCTGGCGCCTGCCAGTCTGCTGGAGCTTGTTTGGACAATCTGGGGGGAAGACTCGGAGCAGAGCTGTGATGAGAGCACACAAGGCTGAGCACACACTGCGAAACATGTGAAGGAATCTGTGGAGCGAGACACGACTCCAAACTACTTTGCACAAAAACGTGCTCTTATTCATGACCGTCTTTCTCACAGAAGTCAGTGAAATTTTAATGCAAATCCACGGTTACTCTTGTTAGATGAATGGTTCAAAATTATCATTTTTTTAATAACAATTTTAATCAACACGTGTGCAAAGCTTTCATTAATTCAACATAAAAGTGTATAGAGCATTTGATATATTTGTTCAAACATCTGCAAAATATCGCAGAAAACGTTGCAGTTTAAAGAGGATGCTTGTTCTACCCACAAACAGTGCAGAGATTTTTTTCAGGATACCTTTACCCCACTTGAATCTCATTGTAGTCACGCACATCTGCAGTGGCATTACCATTAACGGTGAGGGAAATCTGGGGCACCGTTGTGGCCTAATTATCATCAACCATTCATTGTATTCATGCGTCTATGTTCCCACCCCACACACATTCTGTGAGTCCAAAGGCATTCAGAGCCCCTCCACTGTCCCCGGGCCATCTACACCTGCAGAGTCCCCAAGCCACGGACAGCTGGATTCCCACATATTACCCATAAAAGACACACATTTGTTTCCATTTGTAACGCCATCTCTAAAACAGATTGTAAATCCCGATAACCAAGCAAGAGCGCTGATTGGTCAGGAGCGCCTCTGAGGACCCGCCCCTTGACTCGGCCCTAAACAGATCATTGGTCGAGTTTCTTCAAACAGGACATTTCGGACACGCCTCCAGCGCCGTAGCTATAAAACACGCCGCTGCACATGTGGACTTCACGAACTGTCAACATTGCCTCAGCTGCGCAAAGCAAAGAGAACTATCTCCCTGGAAACTAAACAACTCAAAAGAACCATGAAGGTTGTCGGATCTACATGCGCCCTGAAGACCAAGGTCGGCGGCGAGGACGTGGTGCGCTGTCTCTCTGACCAAAGCCTGAGCATTTCCAAATGCAAGATCCCGCTGCTGGACGAGCAGATGACCATGTTTCTGCAGGACATGAACAATTGTTACAGCAAACTAAAGGAGCTGGTTCCTACGCTGCCCACCAACAAGAAGGCCAGCAAAGTCGAAATCCTCCAGCACGTCATTGATTACATCTGGGACCTGCAGGTCGAGCTGGACGAGCCCGAGAGGAGCCGTCAGCACTCGGCGAACGGTGTTCCACGCACGCCCCTGACCACTCTGAACGCGGAACTGGCGAGCATCGCAGTGGAGGTAAATGTTGTTCTGTGCCTGCGCTGAGTGGCTGTGCTCTGTGTGTGCTTAGCCCGTATGCTTTGTGGAAATGGTCAGGTGGAGACCTGGGTTCCAACCACGACCTTCAGCTCAAAGGTCAATGCTCTAACTACTGAACCTCCGTCGCCCCGAATGTGTCTTTTAAAGTGCTTGGCTCTTCCATGACCCACAGTCTTTGACACAAGAGGCCTATCTTAAAATAATAAACACATCTATACAATGTGGCTATGTCCCACAAGCTTTTAAAAACCGCGTAATCAACCCCCTTCTGAAGAAAAACAAATCTGGGAAACTCTTAGAGCAAAACGCTTTGCCTTCCACGTCAGGAAAATAATAGTTGGAATCCTTTCAATTTGGGATTCAGAGCTCTCATAGCAATGAATCGGCACTAGTCAAAGTAAAAAAATGACATACTACTAGTGATAATAGTGGACAAGCGTCCAGTGTTGGTCTACTGGACCCCCAGTGCTCCATTTAACCAATAGACCACAGAATTCTACTGCGGGAGGCTTACGAAGGTGATATAGGTCCTCAGAGGAACAGCCCTTGGCTGAGTTTTAATCCTATCTATCGGATCGGATCACTTTGTCAATTTGAATCACAAATCTTCGCCTCATTCTTGGGGCTGAATTCGATGTGCACACTCCTTCAAGGCTTATATAAGGCCCAAGCATAACTAAAACAGCTTTTTGCCACTTGCGGAACATCGCTAAAATCAAGAATATCCTTCCTTAAAGTGATCACGGAATCTTCTTTTAGTATACAAAGCCATGATTGGCCTGGCTCGTTCTTATCTTCAAGAAAAGTTAGTGCTATTATCATCCATATGCCGAGCACGGTGCTCACAAAACGCCAGCGTCTGTTGGTTCCTAAGGTCACTTCTAACAATTGTCGGTCAGCAGCAGAGCATTTAGATACCAAGCCCCTTTATGTGGAATAAGAAAGAGATACGGTCTTCAACATTTCAAGGCCCAGGACTTAAACACTCTCTTTTGCCTCTTTTGCAACAATTTTGCCTATTGTTAGGTTGTTTGTCCTGGTCTTGGTTTACACATCTGGTAGTGTAATCACAAATATTTGGTGGCTGTAGCCTGGCTAGGCCTAGCGCGGCTGCTGCTGTTTCTCCTTCGTTCGGACACGGTCTCCACATTCAAGGTAAGGCTTAAAACTGTCGTCTTAGTTAGCATATGGATTGGAAGTTAGGCTCAGGGAAGGCTCCTAGACATCTTTCTCTGACTGTCAGTCAAGCTGCGTAGGAGTAAGTCTGCTGGGAAAAGTATGGTATTTTAGCACTATCACTCTCCTCTTTCCTACTTTAAACAATATGAATTATTCAGGATTTTCGTTCTGTGGTTACAGTATGGTTCCCACTTCGTTTTTTGTCGCCTTTCAGCGTGTATCACACGTGACTCAAGTGTGATTCCTCGCTTCTTTTTATTATTTTTTCCCCTGTGATGATGCAAATGACCCGAAACAACACCAGGTGGCAATTGTGCGAGGCGTTAGGAAAATTGGCTTCATCGGTCTTTGTTCTATGTTCACCGGACAAACTTTCTGGGCTTTATAGCTCAATGATTAAAGTGGTGGACTCTGGTCTGTGATAGGACTCGGGGTTCAAGTACAGTCTACGACACTTTTGATTTTGGTTGACGTTTAATTTTTTCTAATACATACTTAAGTAATTAGGCCATCACATTTAAATAGTGTAGGTCTGTAGTAATCTGTTGTATACTTCACAATCTGCACCAAACCAAACGGCAGGTAAAAACAATGCAACATTATATCAGTTAACAGAGTAAATCTGTTTCATATACTCCCCCGCTAATAAAATTGGAGATTGGGGGGCTCGAAAACCCTGATTTCCAAGCGAAAAACTTGGACCAATCCACTACGCCCACAGGCGTGGAGAAAACACTGATCTAATACCTAAAGTAGCGCTGAGTGAATGAGACCGTGCGTATATGTGCACGGACGCTTAAAATGCCCTTATATGCAAGTTGTAATGCATATGTTGCATATGATCTGCTACTCCGTGCATTTTAGAATTCCTAATTAAAATGGTACCTATATGTAACATGTGTAGTTTTAAATTTTTGTTATTGATATTCAATACAATATAGTTTATTCTGAATATTCGTTTTACCCTTCAATAATCAGTTATTCCGTTTCAAAATAAACTCGAAAACCAATTGTCCATTCGTTTATTGTTATTTTCCTTTTATAATTCAAATTGGTATAAATCAATATCCTTTATATGTCCGTGTCCAATCCGTGTACCCTTCAATCATTTAGTTATTCCGTTCAAAACAAATCAGAAATCAAAATACGTGAGTTGTTTTATTGTATTTCCATTTTCAAATTAAATTGGAAAATCAAAACATGTTCTGAAATGAAATATTCACCCTTTTCTTTGATATGCTGTGGAAACATACATACTCTAATCAACTTCCATTATTTTGTTTTATATGCTACCGGAATTGATGAGTGGTTGAGAGACGGAAACAACTCTTCAGCTGCACTCAACTCAACTCAACCTACACGACAACAACTCGCGCTGTTGTTGAGCTCGCCCCCGAGGCCCGAGCTCCAGGGGCCATAATGCTTACAGCACCTGGTTATTCACAGGCGGTCTCCCATCCAAGGACTATGGGGAAAACCTTTTGTGGGCGCTGTTTTAAACAGAGGAGCCGGCTTTCTCCATTCATTCTGGAGTACATACGCACTCGGTAAGTTCTCCTCTGATAAAAACACACAATGTTTTTGTGGTCGTTCTTTTGTATCACTCAATTAAATCTATCTTATTGTGCGTAGATCGTTAACACAGTCTGTAGTTTAAATCTCGAGTGTGTAGTGCGCTGTGTATGATTGTTACTCCGTGTCATATGTATTTGAACTGATGCTCGTAGATCTCTCTGTTTGGATCAATATTGTAAAAGAAAACACTTTTCTGCGTTGTACAAAACAATTGTATTCACTGTATTCGACTGTTTACCAGTAATTCAGTTTGTTACTCTTGTTGTAGTTGTATTCTCTGCGTAGCTTTAATTATTATTAGCTAATTATTGTTGATGTGTGTACTATCTTATTATGTATTTCACATTTCTTAGTTCAGCTCCAACATTGAGTGAAAATGAATTATATGCAGTTAGTTTTACGTCATGGTATTAGTGTTTTACCAGTTTCAATATTTTCTTCTATAAACTGTACTTACTGTATCCCAGAGACTCATGCTGCTTAATGTCAGATGTAAACATACAACTGTATATGTCTTCGCTAGATTATACAGGATTCTTGCTTCTTTATAATGCTAAATGTAATTAATTTGATTCTGTATTATGCTAAAGATATATACATTAATACATTACTTCTCTATCATGCTATGCTGATATTTTACTGATCTTTTTTGTTTATTGTTGCGACAATATGAATCAATCAATCAATCAAAGGTTTATTTGTTAGAGCGCCTTTCATGACAGGGCAACACATAAGCGCTTCACAGTTCCACATCACAAATCATCTAATAAAACAAACACAGAATCACAATTAAACATTAAAATCACACAAAAGATTAAAACACAATAAAAACAATAATCACACACAAGATTAAAAACCATTAACACTTTCAAAGTTACACAGAAATTTAAAAAAATAAATAATTAAATGTCAGAGTGCTATTACAAATGGAGATATTAAAATACTTCAGTTGTATGCTCAGAGCAAACTGATCAGTCTTTAACATGGATTTGAACTTTGTACAGTGTAGACGCCTCACTCACATTTTCAGGGAGAATTGGTTCCAGATCTTAGCTGCATAGATCTGAAAGCAGGCCTCACATGTTTGGGTTCTTCACTATGGGGCAACAGCAGGTGGCCAGTCCCTGTGCTCCTAAGAGTCCGGGCCTGGTTCATATATGGACTACCAACATGTCACTATTGTATTCTGGTGCACGGCCATGGAGTGACGTGTACACAAGCTGAGCTGTTTTAAATCTAATTCTTTGAGCCACAGGAAGACAGTGCAGAGACTGAGGACGGACTATATGGTATACTTCCTGGTTCCTGGTCAGGTACTCTAGTGCTGCATTTTTGTATGTACTGCAGCGGCTTACAGGTCTGTTTGGACAGACCTGTAAGCAGGCCATTGCAGTAGTCTAGCCTGCTGGAGGACAAATGCGTGGACAAGACTCTCAAGTCTGCCCCTGGGACACTATATTTCTGTCTTTCGGCAATGTTATTCAGATGGTTTTAAAGGTGTGATGTTATTGATTTTATGTGGCTATTGAAATTTAGGTCTGAGTCCAGTCATTACCCATATTTCCTGACCTTGTCTGAAGGAAGTAGGAGAGAGACTGAAGTTGACAGATGACGCCCCTCTCTTTGTTTCTGGGGACCAAAGACAATGATTTCGGTTTTGTCTGCATTTTTAGATGGAGAATTATTTTGCATACACTCACTGATCTGTTGGATTCAGTGAAGGAGCCAATCCAGTGGTCCCATGTTCTTCTGCAGTCAGTGAGACCATTGTCTGAGTGTCGACGGCGGTAATTGTGGTAGGACACTTTTGTGTTCTTTGTATTAACTGACCTCTAAACGGCAGCATGTAGAAGATTAAAATAGGACGACGGTCCAGGAGCGACCCACTGTGGTATCACAGGTCAGGGCCTCATGATCTGTGTCGCAGTCTCCATTTCTACACAAGTACTTCATTCCTCCAGGGAAGACTAACCAGTCTAGGGCTGTGCCAGTGACACCAACCCAGTCCTCCAGTCTCTGCGCATGTTGGATCTCATGGTCGACAGTGTCGACGGGCACTATGATCTAACATGACCAAAAACTGTGACTTTACCTGCATCAGTGTGAAGTCGAATGTCAGTTTTGTTACCTTCACTAGAGCGGTATCAGTGCGGTTGGTGTGGGTCTAAAACCAGATGGAATATCAAAAAGATTATAATTGTTTAAAATTCAGTCTAAGTTGTTGGGAGGCAATTTTTCAAGTATTTTTCCAA